ATGCATCTTTAACTTGGTAAATTACATTGGGTTGTAGTTTTAACATGTTTGTTCTAACATTATAAAGCTTATATGCTGTACTTAATAAAAAGTAATAATGTTCTATCCTTTTCACATGGACTTGAACCTGACTCTGCTGTGTTGCACAACAGTTTTGCCGGCTGAGCTACAGAAGACCTCCTCCAGCACCAGCAATTTCTTTAGATATGCGATTCCATATTATATTCCCTATTAATCAAATTCTAAAAAGTATGTGTTTTTTTACTGTGATAACTTTTTATGAAGTATATAAACTTAATATAGTCAGAAGGAGCTTGTAAAAACTTTTTTCAAAATAACCACAGTATGCAACCGAGTGAAAGACTTTGATGCTTAGTGTTTATGAAGAAAGTGGAATACTGGTGTCTATTTTTTTAAACTACCAATACCAGCCATTTACAGTCTACATGATATGTTTATATTTCTAAATTAACATAGTTTATGACCTTAAGACACATTATGTTCCTCTTCTTTTTATAACCAGCTACTAAAATTTCCCTTTAGTTGTAAAATTCCATATTAATATTCAATACTAAGTTGATTTAAACATGCACAGTAAAGAGATTAAATGAAGCACCACAAGTGCCGTCTGTGAGTCATTTTGGCTAGCCAATCACATTGTGCGGTATTCCGCGCTAATCTGCAGATAATTTAGCAAAGTATGGGCTTTTACTGTGCATTTTGAATGGCTGCATCTATATGTATTTGAGCATTTTTACTACAAGCCAATGATAGTCATATCTTAATTTTTATAGAATGGAATACTGGAATATGGAGATAATGGAAATCTTTATCTCTGATTCACTGGGTGAACATTTGATAAATTACATTTAGATAAAACCAGTACTGTTAACATTACATTCAGGAAGCAAAAGCATTAACTACAAATATAAGATTGAAAAATTAATTTGGAGGAGTTACCAATGAAAGGTTTAGGTGTTCATGTTGACCCATCATTTTCCTCTTTTATCAACAAATTCACAAACTTATTATAGCGAAAATGTGAAAATCTCTTTCTAGCACAGATACATTGAAGACATGATACAGATGCAGCCATCTAGAATGCACATCAAACCCTCCATTAGCGGTAAACAAATTGAGTTGTACTGCAATGCGTTTTGGCATGCCAAATTCAGCACTTCACTTCCCAAAGAAGATCAATAGGTGGCACTTGGGGTGCATTAGATGTAAGTGAAACAGTAGCTTAATTTAATCTGTTTTACCACTTCTTCAAATCCACTTCAATGTGAAATATTAATATGGAACCTAAAGAGAACCCAAACTAAAGGGAAATGTTGGTGGCTGATGATAATAATAACATAATTTAATATTGGCTCCATATTGTATTAACAATATTAATTTATCTATATAAATATATTTACATAGCTGGTAGTGGTAGCTGAAAATAAATAAAAAATAAGGTACACAACAGTATTCCTCCTTCTTCATAAAACTTTTCTGCATCAAATACTTTAACTCAATCACTTGCTGTTTTGGCGAACCATGGAGTACATTAGTTCATATCGCGAGAATTACTGTTCAACAGTTACTGTATTTATGTGAAATATGTGCATATGACCATATAAAGCAGAATACCAGAAACTCAATATAGGTTGAAATTATGCATCTTGTTATGAGTATTGAAATAATCCTTTCTTTGAATCCCTGTATATAGTGAAGAAATGTATCAGCTAAATACAACTTATCATTCAAATCACTATTCAAAACTTATTTTCATCGGACTCTATTTGTTTTTTACATTTTTATTTGCTTTTTAATTAAATCTGTTTTTAAAGCTACTATGTATAATATACTTTTAATCATTTTTTTGTTTTATAATTACTATTTATACATACCGTAATTACTAATTATTTTCTATACTGTATATACTTAAAAATGATAATTCTGTTAGTGTTATCGAGATAGCAGCCTGGTAAGAACATCAAGTCTGGCAAGTAGAGCCACATAATCATATTCTGGAACAGATTACTTCTGATGGGATGTCAGTTTGAAAAACTGTAGTTTAAAAAAAATAGTTGCATAATTATTGACTACAAAGATCTTTTCATGATACTGAAATTGTTTTATAGTTACAAATAATTCTTTAGTATTTTATTTTTGGGGGATAGCAAAAGGTATTATGAACGAATTTTAAATTGGCTTTTAACTGCCATTTAACTTTAACTATAACTGCCATTTACTTCAAGATATTACCAGATTACCTTCAAGCCTTTTACAAAATAATAGGTGTTTTTTTGGCAATTTAATATTAGAGTTGACTAGGTTATAAAAAAACAATGAAATATTTATATTGTTTTCAGTTCATAGTTATTTTTCATACAGAGTATATGTAGATGAAAATCATTCTAAAAAAGTTCTCAGATAAAGTAACTTTATTGCTCTGTTGATCTCATTTAAAACGGCAGTACACAAATGCTTCACTGAACAGATGTGTCAGAAACCATTTATAACAAGGCAATCCTTTTATGCGATTTATGTGCCTAAGATGATAAGGAAGGATTACTTGAGAATTAACAACAATCCAAGTAGAACTGGTTGTTTTCCTTTTTTTCAGAGTCTTCTATTTACTTGTGATCACCAATACCACTCTACTAAAATTCAACTCAAAGGAAAAATTGCTTCCTTCTCTGGCACTACAAACCTGAAGACTCAGGCTAATACAGTTTAATGAGGTAAGTGATTAAAAAGTTTAACCTGTCTGTAGAAAACTACATTTTATTGTTATTTCTTTGACTGTAGCACATTCTTCCAAACCACTTTTGAAAACACCACATTTGTACCAGAAATATTTGGACTGATAAAGTATTGTAGTATTACTGACACCAAGACCTTCATAACCTTTATCTTTGTAAAAATAGAACTGCGTAAGGCACTGGAATGAAGAAAATAGATAATTCCAGTTAATAAGGTTCAAAGAATAGGACATGAATGTTTTATGTTTTATTTAATGATTTATCAGTGAAATACGCTCTTATGTTACATTGTTTTGTTAGCATCTGATTCAGGTGTTTGTGATTGACTTAAACATTTTCTAATAATTTCAGATCATTACATGAAAAAGCTGTTTAGCTTCCATTTCTATATCTAATTTATATTGCATTTTCCATAACAAATGAGAAGAAAGTGTACGATTTATTGTTGTGTTTAATAATAATAATTAAAGTGAAAGTAACACGTATTGTTCACTGAATAAACATAGAATGTAATGTATGTGAATTTGCATAATAATTTTTTTTTAGATGATAGCTTATAACTTTCAACCAATATGTAAAAATAATACTATATTAGTATTTAGTATTTTATTCTTTTTCATGAAGGAAATAGCTTAAAAGGCTTTATAAATGTAGTTGTGGTTAAATGCTTCCTTGGAGTAAGCTTAGAGCCAAATTTTCACAGGATCCACATCATCTCACACAAATATAT